CCCCAAAACCCCAAAACCCCAAAACCCCAAAACCCCGGAGTATCGAAGATTTCTTGAATATTAATTAAAATGATATTTAAGGTCTTAATCATGCTCTTTGTAAGCAGTGTCTTAGCAGGAGATGTTACTAAGCTAGCAAGGACACTTGCTTCTTCAAGTCCTTCAACATGACGTAGCTGAGTAGAATCCAGCTCTGAGAGATGGTGCACTGAGAAAGGAATTACGACCCCGAGTGAAGGGGATTGATGAGACTCTGGGGACTCCTCGGGTTATTGCTCAGGTAGTAATAGCTATGTTTGCTCTAACTCTAACAATATTGATAGTGCTGAATCTCAGTATAATGGCGGCCTGATCCTTTGACCGACGAAATCATCTGATTGTGGCAAAAGGAATAGGAAGCTCTCGTCAAGTTCGGACTCAGAGAATATCACAGAAAGCCTCATTTCAAGCTCTTCTGTGTGAGTTTACAGGATATATACAACTTCAAGTTTGGTGAAGAGTGTCGAAATAGAGATCAGTAAGGATTAATTTTTCGAATTTTTCATTTATTAATGCCCTTCCTTATGGATACATAAGCTTGCAAAACTGTATAATTTGGCTAAGTGTGAACAACACTGAATGTTAGCAGTCTATTCTTCTTGACTAGATTTAAGCAATGAATACGAAAGGGTTAATTATTCCAATTTTTGAAATTTCGTCAGCTTGTCATCTTCTTTACCCATTAAAAGAAATTAGATATAACTTCACAATAAGTTTCCACTGCCTCAGCTAAGTGAATTTATTCCTAAATAGTGTTCTTCAAGATAATTTCCAACTCAAAGGTACAGCTTCTACCTCTAGACATCCTTCATACTTTCGAATTTTCTTCAATCCTGGATGACCTGAACCATTTAACTAATTTCACCCAAAAGACGATTTGGTGAATTCCAAATATTCCTATCCTAACCGTTCAATCCAAAAAAATCCAAAATTTTCAAAAACAAAAACTGCCAAATTTCATTTTTCTACTCTTCCTATAGACGACTCAACAAGGGCCACTATTACTATTTTCACAGGGCCAAGATCCAAGAACGAGTACGCCTACAAAGGAACTCTGAAGGAGGCCGATCGGAAGAGTGTCACCGTTGATGAGAATAATGATGCTTATATTGTGGTTGAACCCAGTTCACTGCTTAATAGAGTAGATATTGATGTCCAGGCAAGCACGGCTTCGCTTAAGTAAGAGATTTGGCTTATTTTTAGGGGGAAAAGTTCAGCAGGAGTGGTTGTGGGGATCCTGTTTGGGGTCATTTGAGGGCTGGCGATAGTTATCTGAGCAGCAGTGATAGTAATTGGTGTTTGAATTAAGCGCCGGAAAGGTAATATTGAAGTTTTGGAAGGATCTTTAGTTTGAAATAGGGTGGATATAAGTTTCTAGATATTCAGAATTATAGTATTAGCTTTATTTTGCAGTTAAGCCTGGAATATTAATTTGATGTTGCTTAAAGTTTGAGTTTTTATGGACCAAATTGGGTTTAATCGTAAATTCACCAAAGGGAAATAGCTTTAAGGTATTCAGATTAAATTCTGCCAAAAATAAGCAAAATTGACTATAAAATAGAGAAATCAGGAAATTCTTCTGAAGGAAGTTCGGAAGAAAGCTCTGAAGAAAGTTCTGAAGACAGTCCTGAAAGTGTATCGAATAAAACTGAGCCAAACATTCAGCTCTTTCATGAAACAAATCTACAAATTAATATTGGAGGGGTTCCTCTGAATGCATCCTACCAAATTCGTATTTGTTATCTTCTAATGTTTTAGCTCATCCCCCGCCTTTGCAGGAAGCACCGCAGTACGTGAATCCAGGAGTTGACAATATGTAAGTTTAGTATTACGAGCTGTAGGGATCCATACATGGCAGATCCTCCTCAACAGATACAACTTGATCCAAATATGCAACCACCTCCAGGTAAGTAACCCCCATTCAACTCTAGGAAACATAGAAGGTCAGAATAACAACCTTCCGAATGCTCCTCCTAAAAAGGCTCATAAGGGAAAATTTGAGCTTTGTGTAATATTTTAAACCTTATAGTTCACCAATCTTGCCCAGGGGTTTTGGGGTTTTGGGGTTTTGGGG